CCCCCGGCGGAGCGGGAAGGAGGCCGGTGCAAGGCCGCCTGTTTCCAGGAAGAAATGGAAGCGCGCCGCCCCGGGGATGGGAGCGAGCCCGAGCGAAGGCGGGCGGCGGTGCGTTCGGTACCACGGACAGCGGCCGCGGGGCCGCCCGGGGCGCACTCCTCTCCCCGGAAGCCCGCTGCAATTACCGCAGGCCACCATTGCTATCCTTGTCAACCGTGAAGACGAGTCGGAGGGAGGGTCCCTCCCCCGTACAGAATGCGGGAGGGTCCCTCCCCCGTACAGAATGCGGGAATGCATTCCTCAGCCACGGGGTGAGTAGGACGGGTATAAAAATAGTCTGGCAAGGTAGTTCCTCCCATGCTGCGAAGCACCCACCACGAATGTGTAAAATGAAAACTCTCACATTAACACTCCTCCGCCAGGATTCCTCATCCTCCTGAGCGGCTGGATCTTCTTTTAGGATTTTTTTTTCCCAGTCAAAATGGAGGAGACAGTGACCATGCTTTCTCCTCCTGACTGCCGGGCCAGCTTCCTCTGTTAGGTTTGTCTTGCATGCTTTAGGGCAGCAGTTCTCAACCTGTGGGTCGTGACCCCTTTGGGGGGTCGAATGACCCTTTCACAGGGGTCCCCTATATGTGTTTTCCCATGGTGTTAGGAACCGAAACACCGTTCTCCTCTACCTGTCTCCAGGTGGGTCCGCCCACATGAGTACCCAGTATGAAGACCCATGCTACACCATGCTTCAAAACAAACTGTTATTTGTCATTAGAAATCAATATTTCACAATATATAATTACATATTGTTTTTGTGATTAATCACCATGCTTTAATTATGTTCAATTTGTAACAATGAAAATACATCTGCATATTAGATATTTACATGACGATTGTTAACAGTAGCAAAATTACAGTGATGAAGTAGCAACAAAAATAATTTTATGGTTGGGGGTCACCACCACATGAGGAACTGTACTAAAGGGTCGAGGAGGCATTAGGAAGGTTGAGAACCACTGCTTTAGGGTAAGGTGACCAGACATCCCGCTTTTGGCAGGACAGTCCTGATTTTTAACAATTTGTCCAGAATCCCACAGTGTTTTTAAAAAGTCCCGATTTTTGGAAAGAATGCATGACAAGCTAGGGTATACGGTTTTCGGCTGCCATGTGGCTATTTCGCCAGGATATGAGTTTTATCAATGGTGTCCCGCTTTACCAATGTTAAAATCTGGTCACCTTACTTTAGGGGGACCTTCTTCAAATCCACATCTGGGGAGCCAGCCTTCACACCTGAATCTGAATTGTAGACTATGGGTGCCAGGAAATCCGTATTTTCCATCGGTTTGGGTTTGGGGAACTAGGCTAGAGAGCATGCTGCCTCTGGGACAGCATCATCTTACTCCGTGTTCTCCACCTTTCGATGTGGAAGGTCGGTCGTCTTACCTCCATCGCACAGGTGAGACGGTTGGAGTGCAGTGGGGCCCAGTGTCTGCTCTTGATACCAGTGGGTGGATTAGAACCCAGGTGGAGCTGATGTTCTGGGTTATGACCCCTTGGATATGTGCTGTAAATCTATACCCCACCCCACCCCCATACCTGTGACTGTTGTCCCACTTGGGTGTGGGGTTGTCTTTGTTATGTCAGTAAGGTAGGAATAGGGCAGGCTGCGTTTTATCCCACTCTTGTGAGATGTACAGGAGGTTCAACCAGCAAGAGAGGCAGAGATGAGGAAGGTGAGGTGCAAGCCGCATGCAGTCACCTGAGAGCAGCAGCTCAAGGTAACACGGATCTTTCTCCAGAGCCCACAGAGCAAGGAAGGCTTCTCCGAGACCTTCGCTCTGAATTCAGATTCCTGGCCTTCTACACTGTGAGAAAACTCATTTCTGTTCCTGAAAGCCACCCCTTGTGGCATTTCTGGAATAGCACTGGAGAACTGAGCCAACCCAGTATATTATGCAGCCAATGGTGTCTGGGGGTCAAGCCCACTTCCCTGATTTCATGAAGCATCACAGAAGCCACTGAAGAGACAAGGTGTACATCTCAGTCGCCAGGAGGCTGAACACCTAAAGCCTTGTTACCCTTGTTAGAGGTAGGGGTGATCACGGATATAGATACATCTGTGTGTCCGGCCATGAAGAGTATGACTTATATCCTCCTACCTGTCAATCACATGGCAGGGCTCCCCACCCTACCAGTGGGCCAGACCTGACAGGAAGGCAGAGGCGGAGGAAGCCCGGCAGTGCTCAGCCCCCTGGGCTCAGATCTGGACTGAGCAGAGCAAGCCAAAGCAGAGAGAGACCGAGCAGTGTGCTCTGCTCACAGGACCCTCCCCTGGTGCCAACGAAGCCTGGAAGCTTGGTGCTTGAAGGAAGACAGCCGCTGTGCTGTGACGTAAGGGAAAGCAGGCTGGCCCGCACCCCTGCCCTCCTTCCAGGAGAGGGAAGAGAGTTTATGAAGCAGATGGACAGGAGGGGCTGGGTCTTCCCACCCTAGGTTTCGGCTCAGAGGAACACCAGACTACAGTAAACACCGTGGGGGCCGAGGGAAAGGGAACCCAGCAGGATCAAGTGGCCGGGACAGGGTGAGGCAGTGCAGAGTGCATCAGGCTTGGAATCAGCTTGCTCGAGTCAGGGTGTGCTCATGAGTCTATTACTTCTACCCCCTAGTTTCCCAAAAGGGATTCCAATCGTGTCTAACCTCGCAAGCCTTCAGTCTTTCCTCCCAGCACCAGTAGCACAAAGCCACACGTTTCCCCAGTTTCCTTTTCCACGTTGTTTGAGGGAATAAGCAGCGCAACATCGGCCCCAGGTGTCTTCTCATGACCCAGAGTGGCTTCCTTAGCCTTAGCAGGGAGGGGACTTACTGGAGAACTCACTGGTGGAGGAGATGGTGAGAGAGTGACTACCACTACTGCACCGTAGTGCGTGCGTGCGTGCGTGCGTGCGTGTGTGTGTGTGTGTGTGTGTGGCACGTGTGAGGTGGGAAAGGATGCACATGTGGTTCTGAGACCTTTCACCCACTGAACCCACACAGCAGACCTTGACTGGTGGTTTGCAAGCGCCGTTCTGCAAGATCTGGAAGCAATCACAACCTCCTTGCAGTAAGGAGGCTCTGGTTCAGGGATGCCACCAGGACGTTGAGTCAACAGGCCAGAGTGTGACGATTTCACTGGCTTACCTAGTGGGGCTCTGGCTGTGGACTTAGTCACGTCAGGCTCCGGGCTGGTCTGCAGACCCAAGCATGACTCATCATTTCTCAGCAGCCGTCGCCAACCCGCAAACGCCACATCTCACAGGCTGTGTGAAGGTGCTCGTCAGAATCCACAGGTGGCAGCGGTCACAACGTTGGACAATGGATAGTTGCATGTCGACTTTTCAACTGAACCTTGGGACAGAGGTAGGGGCAATTTCATTCTAATCTTAATAAATGCCAAGCACCCACTCCTCCAGGCCAGAGGAGCTCTGGTGAGGCGGTGGGTGCACTGCAGCGTCTCCTTTCTGCCCTTGCCTTTCCAGTACCACAGAGCGAGCCGAAAGGCCAGCTCTCTGAGAAGTCACAGGGGACTCCTGAGGTCACACTCGGATCATTGGGATCCTATGGAATTGTCAGCATTCAGTCATTCTGCCCTCAGACTGGGAAGTGCACTAGGAGTGGCTGGCTCCGATGATCCACTCAGACCAATCTGTACGGCAGGCCTACCTGCCAGGTGCCCGGGCCACCACTGCGGGAAAGACGACTCCAGACAAGGGGTACCCTTCTTCCCTCTTGATCACACACGACGTCACATGGAAGCTCTGCTGGCACGGACACGTGTGCTCCAGATGTACGGTTCTTTTCCTTCCCCGCAATACCCACTTTGCCCTGGTGTGTCCCTCACAGGCAGTGTGTGGGTGACACCCTCAGAGGCTGTATTTGGGTTCTCTGCTGCCTTGGCGCTCAGTCTTCCTTCATAGAGCCCTCCCTCTGCAGGTTCACCCCAACACTCAGTTAACACTGATAAGTCCTGGTGCAATCCCCACCATGTCTTGGAGGAAGTGCAGCCAGAATGCGCCTTAGAAGCCAGATGGTGAGACTTTGGACATGTTGTCAGGAGAGACCAGTCCCTGGAGAAGGGCATCATGCTTGGTGAAGAGGAGGGGCAGTGAAAAAGAGGAAGACCCTCAGTGAGATGGACTGACGCCGTCGCTGCAAGAAACAGGACAGTAGTGAGGATGACACAGGACCGGACAGTGTTTCGTTCTGTTGTGCATGGTGTGTTAGTCTGGGTTGACTAGAGAAACAAACTCCTAGACTTTCATATGTGTGTAAGAGAGAACTTTATATCAAAGAGTCATTGTATATTAAGAAAACACCCCAGTCCAGTTTAAGTCTATATGTGTATAAGAGAGAACTTTATATCAAAGAGTCATTGTATATTAAGAAAACACCCCAGTCCAGGTCAAGTCCTTGTCTGATGTTAGCCCCTATGTCCGATACCAGTCCATAAAGTCCTCGTCAGACTCACGAAACACATGCAATGAGGCCGAATGCAGGAAGATCACAGGCCAGTGGTGTCCAGTGGAGGTGGAAGTATCTCAGCACTGGTGTGAGTCTTCATGCGGCTGCTCCAGCTCCAGGGCTCTGGCTCCATCTGCATAGCTCTATGTGGCTTGTCATCAGGGATGTCTCACAGGGAGAGTGTGTGTCTGGCCTCCCATGAACTATTTATCTTCTTAATGCCTCCAAATGAGGTCATCAAGCTGCGACCTGATTGACAGGCTAAACAACACCCCTTCACTCTTACTAGTCTCAAGTTGACACCAGATTATGTAACTGCCACACA